GTGGTGCTGGGGGATTGAACCGCGGTCCCTGATGCTTTGCTAAGCTTGTTCTAAGTAGGTGCTTTAGACCACTGAGCCATCTCTCCAGCCCCATGGTGATTTTTAAATAGTGCTCTAAAAGTTTACTATTCATTAGCAAGATTATATAGGGCTGGGTTTAGCGTAGTGGAGGCCCAGGGTTCCAACTCTTGCAGATCTCGCCAGAAAACCCCCTAGGTTGTAGACACACAAATGTAAACATAATACCTAAAGAAACTCTGTAGTTACTTGTTAAATATTTAAAAATTCATTTGTGTCACATGGTGTTCAGCTAAGATTAAAGACAACCTTCATAGTCATGTTCATTCCAGTTCTTTACCTGTGCTATCCAACATGGTAACCATTAGCTACATACTGCTCTTTGACACTTGAAACTATGGCTAATTACGACCGAGGGGCTGATTACTTTGTTGGTAGTGCTGGCGATCAAACCCTAGAACCTTGTGCATGCTGGATAAGCACTCTACCACTGAGCCCAGGCACCTTTTAAAATTTTAATTAAATTTAGGCCCGGTGGCACGCACCCGTAATCCCAGCTCTTTGAGACAGGAGGATAGCTGTGAATGAAAGGCCAGTCTGAACTGCATAGTGAAACTCTTGTCTCAAAAAGACAAAAAGAAAGAAAAAAAATTTTTTTTGCATTCAAATTGTTCAGCCCTGTAGATGGGTGTTGTGTTTCTTCCATTTCTCAACATTTGGAGGAAAAATCCTGTCTTTAGTGTGGGTGGGGTTTTTGATAAGACAGAAATCTCACTGTGTGTAGTAGAAGCCATCTTTGAGCTCACTGTATAGCCCAGGCTGGCCTCAACTCCTGTGAATGCTGGAGTTACAGCTGTGCATAACCATGCCTGGCTTAAGAGGTTTTTTATATCGATAGCAAATGTTCCTCAATAGCCTAATTACTAAACAGTGTAAGTTTTTCTAGCTGTATTGAATGTATACTTTGGAAACTATATAATGTACCTCATGTATTTCAGTAGAATAGATATGGCTGTGTATTGGCTAGGATTAGGGCCCACTTTTAGAATCCTTCATTCCCAGAAAGAAGCTTTTTTACTGTTTTGGTTTGCTTTGGTTTGGTGCCTGCCTCCCTACAGATGGTAGCTCAGGCTGGTCTCCAATTCAGCTTCCTGAGTGTTAGTATTACAGGTGTGCACCACCATGTCTGTCTTCTCCCTGTTTTCAAGTTAGTCACAGATCTATCTCGTCAACCACCAATAAGCTGTTTGTATTATTTTATCTGTAAAGTTTCGTATAAACAAACGTTTAATCTTTTGTTTTGCTTTTTTCACTTGGCATACTGCTTTTGAAGCTAATCATTATACATATTTTTTTTTTAATTTTTATTTGTGTGTGTGTGGCCAGCTCAGCCCACCAGGGGGTGGGGCTGGCTGGCATGTGGTGCTGGGGGATTGAACCGCTGTCCCACTGCTTTGCTAAGCTTGTTCTCAGTAGGTGCTTTAGACCACTGAGCCATCTCACCAGCCCCCATTATACGTATTAATTTTGTACCATTTTAAGCAGTTTACATTTTAACTTGTCAAACAAGTTTCACAAAACATTCCTTGCTGGGGCCAGGGAGATAGCTCAGTAGAATAAGCGCTTGCCTGACAATCGCAAGGGCCTGGGTTCAATCCCTGATCCCACCAAAAAAAAAAAAAAAAAAAACCAAAAAACATTCCTTGCCCATATCAGCTGGGGATAGTTCAGTGGTGTGAGGTCCTGAGTTCAGTTGCAGGTACAACCCCACCCCCCGCAAAACCCCTGTATGATCTAAGGCAGAAACAAAAAAGTAGCATCAAATATAGTAATTAAATTAAACAAAGGGGCCAGAGAAATGGCTCAGTAGAATAAGTGCTTCCTTGGCAAGCGCAAGGGCATCCCATGATCAAAAACAAAATTAGGGTAGTTTTGGGTGGGGTGTGTGTGTGGTGGGTTTTTGTTTTTTGTTTTGTTTTTGTAGAGCCGGGGATTGAACTCAGGCCCTTGTGCTTGCCAGGCAAGCACTTATTCAACTGAGCTATCTTCCCCAGCCCATGGGGATGTGTGTGTCTTTGCCTTTGGGACAGGGTTTTGCTCTACAGTTCATACTGTCCTTGAACTCACTTGTAACCTAGTCTGATCTCAGACTCCCAGCAATCCTTCAGGTATTTTTTAATATACTTGTGGTGTTTCTTGATCATAAATTTACTTCTTTCTGGCACAGAGAAAGATGTTCTGGAGATAGTCTCATTCTGTGGGCCATTTTTTTGTTTTTATTTTGAGAAATTTCAAATAAGGGAAATTGATAATGAACCTCCTTGTATCTTGTGTCCTTTCATTTCACTTGGTTTTGTATTAGGTATCAGACACTGGCTGAATCTTTTTTTTTTTTTTTGAGACAAGGTCTTATGTTGTAGTCCCATCCGCCTGAGTGCTGTCATTATAGGCATGCACCACTATACCTGGTTTGTTGAATCATTTTTTGAGTCAATATTTT